GAAATATATTTATGTTTGTGGTTGTAATGTGACAAAATATGGAAAAGTTCAAGGGGTATGAATACTTTTGCAAACCACTGTAGTTTGTTAAAAAGCACTTAGTCTAAATTGTCTTCATATCTCCTCACGTTTCAGCTCTACAGTCGTTCTGACATCCTGCAACATTGCACAGAAAGGACATTTATGTAAAATACCACGAAACCCATTCCTTCAAATTACGTTTTGTAAAGCGAGAAGAAAAAATGCTAAATGGAAGGAACATTTCACACGATGCTGCTGTTGAGATCACCCATCAGAAGCAAAAGCTTTTCAGCCTTTCTTATAGATCTTTCGTAACACATTATATAATGAAAGATGGTATTTTTGATAAGTATAGGTAGTTCTGAAAATTGAAAACAGAAGAGTTGAGGAGGAAAAATGTCGCAACAATGCTCCAAGTCTGAAAGCAGAGGGGGTTGGAGAGGTGAACCCTCATCGCTGGTTATGAAAACGGTTTCTGCTGCTTTCAAATGGACCCGGCGTGTGTAGAAGTGGTTGATGATGTGTGTTTGTGCCAGTAAAACCACACAGTAACAGCACCAAAATTGCTTCCATATTGAAATAGCCGAAGACAAGTGCTTTTTGGGCTCGGGCCATTCTTCTGAGGCCACCTGACTGCTGCCTCCTGCTCTCAAAATGTTTTCTGTGTCCTGTGGATTTTTTTTTCCCCCTCGCTTGTAGATGCGCTTCAAACAGCGCTGATTAGCTATCTACCATCTGCTGGGCCGTGTGAGGAGAGCGCCTCATTATTCTGCCCGTTGTGTCTGCTCTGAAGCCACAGCTCCACTCCAGCTATCAGGCGAAGCTGCGGGGGCTCTTGGTATGCAAGCAGCGGGGAGTGGCCCCGTGATTGCAGAGTTGCTGCGCGAAAAAGGCGGCTGAGTTGTAAGCATCAGTCTGTCAGAGAAATGAGCCGTTCTGCAGACAATCTCTGCCTCCAGCTGCGAAAGTACAAAATACTTCTGTCTTATGTGTGATGACATGAATTCAAAAACCACCGGGGTCATCCAGGAGCCTCGTCTATGCAGCAGGACAGATCAGGAGTGATTCGGATTCCTAGAAATTGCAGCTATTTTTACATTGCGAGTCTGCAACAACGGCGTATTTCTGTTGTTTTTCAGGACCTGGTGGGCAGCGCGCCGCCTCAGAGGAACTGGAAGGGAATAGCGATCGCCCTGCTGGTCATCCTGATCATCTGCTCCCTGATCGTCACCTCTGTTATCCTGCTGACCCCTAGTAGGTGTCACACAATAATTATCAATTTCTGTCCACTGCATCGTTTAAAAATGTGTTTTCTGAATCAACAAATCCACCGATTTGACCCCATGGCAGATAAATACCACATTTCTTTGTGTTTTAAATGTTTAAGTGTTTAACCTTTATCGGGGACATTTAAATGTCACGTTGGATAATTACAGCTTGAGTCTTCTTAAGGTACAAAGCTTCAGATTACACAAAATCCAAGAAAGCAATTAAAAACAATGGAAAAAAAAAACGAGGATTATTTGTTGCCTTTTAGAGAAGCTGTTTTATTAGATGAGGCTGTTCTTATCACACACCATGATTTGGTTTATTTATTGGTTATTTCACAAAACTACACAGTTTCAGTCCAGTGTCTTAAAGGTCTGCTCTGCTAGGTTTTTCTGAGTGCTACAGCTGCTTTAATCTGAATCATTACTTCAATTTAAACAAATCTTTCCTAATTTCCAGGTGTTTAAATTACACTTAATTGTGTTAAATGTGCTCTGATTGTGAAAAAAAATAAAAATAAGATAAACGCCAGAATGCATGCTGAAGACAAAGGATTTGATCGTGCTTTTACTTCCTTTGTGAGAATAACAAATGTAATCTTTTGATGCTTGGGGAATGTAGGCTTCTTTCAAATTCAAATAAGGTTTCTTGCTTTAAGTGGGGAAAAAGGTGGTATGAACTTGTTAAAATTAAAAGAAGAAGCAGCTAGAAGAAAATCAGAGGCTCTGCATGGAGGATATTTAAAATGGTTTTATTTTTCCAAGACAAAAAACTCAAGTTCAATGTGACCAAACTTGACAACAGCCGATAAACAATCTGATGAAGATCACAAAACGTTGGTCAAACTTTGAAACTCTTGTAAAAAAATTAAAAAATAAACATTTATATAAACTTTTCCACTAACTCTTGCCACATTCTTCCAACACATACACTTTTGTCATGTGTTAGTTTTTGAGTTCTTGTCTTTTATTTATTTATTTATTTATTTTGCATGCTCTYCATGGTTTGTGCTTTCCACTCCACGCACCTGTTTGTCATGTGTCGTCAGTGCACCTGTTCTCACTCACCAATCATCCATCCTTGGTTTCACTCAGTCTCAGTCACATCCTCTCTGCTTGTTCTGTTCCTGAGGCATTTTTATTATTTTTATTTTTTTCATCCTGTTTCTTCCCACTTTACCTCTGGAGTTATTGAAGCATTCTGTTTCTGCATGCCAATGTTGCCAGCTTTATTTTACTTTATTACTATTATTAACTTGAAGTAAAAAGCTTTATTTGCAGGGACCACAGAATGGATTTAAAAAATGTTGTAACTAAAGTAAGAAATTGTCCAAACTGTGCAAAAATTGAAACATTCTTGATAAAAATATCAAATGAAACCTTTTTGAGAATTCACTCTTAGCCCAAAAGCAATGTGTGTTTGRTAAGTTATTTCTTTGTTGTAACGACACTTATTGACAATAAATCTTATACTGTTGGAAAGCCTGTTAATTTCCTTTAAATGGTGCCACATTTGCAAGGATCATACATTTGTGGGATGAGCAGTAAAGCTGAGTGTTCGGGTTGCACACTTGGAGAAAATGAGTTAAATCTGACCTGCCAAACAGCTCTGTTGTTGCTATTGACACTTGTTTTAAGCATGAATGTCTTTTTTTTTCTTTGGACATGTCAAATAAATCGACTTAAAGTCATAAAATAAGTAAAATATCTACTCAGGAAGTCAGAATATAAAGTCATTAGTAGTCGAGATTGGGAAAACCAGTTTTATTAAAATCTCAACAATTCTGAGTAATAAACTTGTAAACTGTTGTATTTTCGGAGGCAAACCTTTTACCAAATGTCAATAAAATCTGTGGAGGCGCTGTTGATCGACGTGTAACCATGGCGACAGGAGCGAACAGCATCCWCACATCTGTTCGACAGCTTTTAAACACACATGTCGGGTGCGCGTGGCTGAGTTAAAAATTCATGGTAACAAACTAACCCTCACACAGACCGTCTYTGAGACAGACGGCTGATTTGATCGCCCTCGTTGGGCTCTGCGTGTTTTTTAAAGACAACGCCGCATCTGTGAGTGGTGATTGTGTCCCTGCTTCACGCAGAGGCGGGGTCGCGGTCTCACTGGATAATGGCCCCTTTAGTGTGTAATGTTGCTCCTGCCTGTTTAATGGGGATGATAATGCAGTAATAGCTCCAGCCTCTTGTCAGATCAACACAGCATCTCAGATGCAATTTTTCCCCGGCTCTCTTCCTCTGCCCTGCCTCGCCAGACGAGAGACGCTCTCTTTATTTTTCTTTAAGTTGAGAAACACTTTTTTATTTTTATTTCTGACATGCTTTGCCGCTCATATAGGCCTGTCAGAGTCTAATTGGTGATTTGTACAATAAATTCAGGCTGTCAGTCTGTTTGATAAGGGTTGAAAAATTGATCTTGTTTTCTTCTTTAAGTCCAGAATCCTCTRTTGTCTGCTCCACCTGCTGTCTTCAGCTCGTGTTTTATGTTTTGGGTTAGCGAGGAGTCGCCAGCCTTCTGCTTTCTGCTGAGAGAGACGCAGCAGGCGGCTGGAAACTGATGCCCTCAGGCCATCAGAGCAACACCAGGGGCTTATTTATTGTTTTTACTTTGTACTAATTTGCTTAGCCTATAGCAGAAAACAGCTACTGAGCGTACTACAGGGTTTCCAGAGGAGTAGACTGTAGCAACAGGATGAAAAGTCTCAAAGCAACAAGATTTTCTTTTAAAACCAGTAAATGTTCRTCCGTCTTCYGCAGCTTATTTGCGGTTGAGTCGTGGATGTCAGAACCATCTCCTCCCAGATGTGCCTGAAAACCCTCCAAAGAGATGGAACCAGGAGGTGTCTGGATGAGACGCCTGAACCACATCAGTTGACTCTTTTTGATGCAAAGGAGCAGCTCGTTTTTAAGCCCACCACAGCCCTATAATGATGGGGGTCCCTATCTCTCTGGCTGAGCCCAGCTCTCCCCGCAGAGGATGCCCAATTCAGCTGCTTAGATCCAGGATCGCTTTCTTTCTGTCGTGATCCACACCTCATGACCGTAGACGAGGAGTGGAATATAGATGAACCAGTAAATTTAGAGCTTTGCCTTTTAGGCCTTTTAGTCACGAGAGTCACTTCTGTCCGACCCGCCAGAATAATGAAAAAAAATTGCTCTTGGTAAGAATTCTTGAAATCACTTAATTTGACTCAAATTTTCCTTATTTCAAGAAGTCTTACTAGGTGCAGTTATTTCACTTAAAGGGCAAATATTATGTGTTTCTCAGGCACACATTTAAATACTATACCATAATAAAATATCTATGTCACCTTTAGTTATTGTTAAAATGCTGATTTTAATGTTTAAATAGAAAATAAACTTATCTTCTCATCACTTCCTCTTCTAAATGCCATGAAATTGGCCTCTGTCTCTTTAAGAACCACCTTCCACTTCTGTGAACCACCTTCCACTTCTGTTCCGCCCATTTTGGTGCGGGGGGGGTGGGGGGTGGTGTTCGCGTGTGCCATGATGCAGTTTACTTGGCATCTGAAAATACATTTCCTCAAAGGTATATTTAATCTGAAAAGAGCTTCACTGAGTGAGAAGTGTTAGGAGCCCAGCAGACCCGAGAGCCTGCAGGAGTCATGGGCGGGGTGTGTGTG